CTTGCAGTAATGACTTTTACCTGTCCCTGGAAAGCAACAGATAGGCAGCAGGTAGGATCCAATGCATTTTATAATCAGTAACAATGTTTTTGTGCCCTCTACCGCCACAGCTATCGCTTTTAACAAATCAAAAACGTCGAGGCAAATAAAAATGTATCGTTTGGTAACGGAATGCGCACATTTGCAGTTGTAAAAAATGCAAAATCTAATCTTCATTTCCAGTGGCAGTTTTCTGTTAGACTTCTGATGCGCATTTTATATGACTAAGTTAAGAAATAAATATAAAATAAATATAGGTTGTAAGTACATCTGAATCCTGACGTTTTGACGCATAGAGACCGGATGTTCGCAGTACGCAGTACCGTCGTTTCCAGCGATTGTTTTCCTCAAGCACATAGAGGTGCTCCTTAAACGCGGGCAAGCGACTGGCACCGTCTGATTCTAGAATATCCTTTTGAAGGGAAAAAAGTAGGATTATACTGGCTGTTATTTAGATTTTAGGGATTTCTTTGTTTATTCTTAATATGTACGGCTGTTTCTAAACTAAATTCAGTCCGACAATTTTGAAGGAAACGTAGCTCCCCTAAACTAAATGTGCTCGAACGAGTGCGCAAAGGTTAACATCGTTTGATCTTACTGACCTGGTCCTCTTTTCTTGTTTTAAGGTTCCTTTAATGTGTTTTGTAGTTGAGGTTAAGCTTGCATATCGTCGTGTCACTGATTAACGCTGCTACTGCCATTACCAAGGGGGGGGGAGTTTCACGGGCACGCCTACGCATTCGGTTTTTTTACGTAGCGTTTATTTGCATATTTCTAGCTTTAAACGCTGATGGAACATATATTTTATTGCTGAGAGAATCATGGCTAATAGAATTAATCAGATGTATCTCTAGTGAGAAATTTACATTGTTGGATAGACATTTTCGCCCAGTTCTAAACGCCCTCCAACTCTTCTTAACGTTTCACAAAAATATGTGCTTCAAGGTATAACAAGCGTTATAACCATGCATTATACATATTTAAACCCAAAGCAAGCCTTTATGGTGGCTGTGTGTGCTTGTAGATTGTATAAGTGACTTGACATATA